CTCGCACATGCGACGTCGCATCGCAGTTTTGTGTACACAAAGCACCGCTAATTAGTTCGAGGCGCTACACATCGACATTACTATCATTTACACAGTGAACATGTGTGGGTAATTTCATATTAATAGATATGTATAGAAACATTCTTTTATTACATCACAACATCTTGGTATTACATATCATTTTTGTGTCGGTATACGTAATATTTTAGTAAATAAGTTTAAATAAAAACGAGGGTAAAGATAAAAATACTCATAACAAACTTTGAATAAATCGAAATCAAAAATAATGAACGATCGAGCAATACAATACTTATATAAATATAGTGCATTCTCATTGTATTTTTATGTTACTGAATGATATACAATATTTCGAAGTTCTCATCTACGGCGCGCTTGGTGCAATGGTTATCGCCTCCAGTGGTCAAGTAAAGTGCCACCGGATCGATTCCAGCATTCACATGTTGTTTTAGTATTAATTAATCAAATATTTGAAATGTGAAATTAGAAACAATTAAATCTTTTCTTTTTTTCCTATCCTATTTTTCTAAATCTTATGTTAATTTTAATAGTAAATACTTTAGATTTATTTATACCTATAATATCCTTTATTTATATTTTAGTTCTAGTTATTTATTATTTAGAATAATTTAGAATGATTGGAAGAACTTTAAAGTTAACATGTGGTATATAATTAATTATTAGATATAAATATTGAATATAAAACCACATATTTGTATAATTAATAAATTAATTTTAATAAAAAATAGTATTGTTTTATTTACCGACTGATTTGCTTCTTTTATAGCCTGATATTTATATTATATGACAAAAAACAAAAAAAAAATAAATAAGAAAAACAACAAGGTAAAATAAAAAAAAACTTTTAGCTGGAATAGAACCCACATCATCATTGATCCTTGAAAGACGATAAAAGCGTACTCATTAACCAATCGACCACGAGCACTACGATAATTACAGTGAAAATGTCGGGTCATATCAATGATTGTAAATAGTTTTAACCTTACCCATGCATTAAATTATAAAAATACGTATACCGACACAAGAATGAAAATACCAATGTGAACGTGGTGGACGAATATTTTTATACACAGTAATATGAAATTTCCCACACATGTACATTGTGTAAATGACAGTAGTGTCGATGTGAGCGTTACGAACTAATTAGCGGTGCTTTGTGTACGAGCCCTTACACCCTATAGACTGACTAAAATCCTTCTATACTTGTTCAGCTTCCATCACATTTGTTCATCTGAAGGTTCGATGACATCTCTGGCTTCACCATTTGACTTCGGAGTATTTCTAATAAGAATAAAAATATTATAATCATGTTTTTGCGTCTTTCATTACCTGAAAAGGGAAAAACCCCCACTTATTGCTAGATATAGTATTATGCTAATATGTATAACTAACTACTCCCACGGTTTTATTTCAATTGAGCATAGCGTGGTGTATTATAACCTATAGCCTAGCCGATAAATGGACTATCCAATCCAACATAAGAGTCGCGGAGAACCTAACGGGTTACCAGGGCCCCGGCTCGAAGCGCAGGAGAAGGAACGGGGTGGTTTTTAGTCAGTAGGAGTCTGACACTCCCTCCCGCCTCACCTGGGCGGGAGCAGTAATTCGACGATTTTCCCCCCTTTAAAAAAAAATCCAACATAAGAAAACCATATACATACATTGCAAGATATATAAGTTAAATGTAAGCTTGTAAAAAGATACCACAGATATCAATAGGGTAGAAAACAGTGTATGAAAATTAAAAATGTAATTAGTCCGTCAGTTAAATAATGAAAAAATATTAGACACGTATTTTTTTATTTGGTCGTATAAGAAAACAATATTTAGATAAAAGTCAAAGTTTAGGAGTGAGAGGTAGCTACGTCATTTTAGAGTATAAATCGTACTCAAAAGTGACGTCATGCGATATTTCAAATCAATATATCGTCGAAAATATTCGTTTCCATAAGAGAAGAAAAAATACGTGTCTAATGATTTAAAATAATCTACCAGACGGACATTAAAATAAAAATTAGTCATCTACCATATTGACAAGATAATAAGGAATCATAGAATTCGCCTGTAGCATTTCCGAACCGATACGACATCTAAAGAGAGTAGTTTGAAGAAAAGAGCCTTTTCAAAAGGCAGCTGGTCTTTCGTTACGTTACGCCTCTGGTATAGCTGGTCTCCATGGACGGCGCTCATCGCTCGCCTTGCCATCTATTCCATAAAAAAGCAAGACCACCTAGCCTGGTCAGGGAGCCTGTTTTTCATACATACGGAACGACACAGCCCTGCTAACTAAAAAATTAAAATTCCAATAAGAAACTTATTGTTTTTTTATAATCTTTTATTTTTTAATGTATAAGAAAAAAAATGATTTTAATTTTAATTTGAACCCTTGGAACTTTACAGCCTTCTTCCCTATTTTTTTTTATTCTAATAAGATTCAATCAATCTATCTGTTTATTTATTCTGTAAATATAATCTATACGGTTCGTAAAGACATACGCATTTGTCTGGACTTTAAAAGAGACGGACCTCTAAGTTTGTTTCGGCATTACTTCTCAGAGTAGTCAGTTAGGAAATGTCGTGTCCCTTCGTCCAGCATACTCACCATGGAATCCTGATATTTCATGAATGTCAAAAAACTGTTCTGAAATAGTGCTAAATAGTGCCCAAAGGAAAAAAATAGTGCTCTTGTACATGCGAAGTTATAGCCATAGTTCGATGAGTATGCTGGACGAAGGTTTCGCCCAGCATACTCACCTCCGTCCGGAGAATCTGTATACGCTTCAAACATAATTCATACTTCAAAAAATAGTTCCCAAATAGTGCCAAACGGTGCCCAAAAAGAAAAAACAGTGCTCGAATAACTTCGGAGTTATAGGCTTCGTTCAGTGAGTATGCTGGGCGTAGGTTCTACGCCCAGCATACTCACCTCAGTGCGCGAATATCGAACGAGCTATAGGTACAATTTACGTCTCAAAAAATTGTGCTTGAAATAGTGCCCAATATCAGTCCAATTTTTGCTTGACTTTTGACTTAGAAAACCATTAAATTTTAATGTAAACTTCTACATACTAACGTAAAATGGGGTACAGTCGTCGACACATGTTTTTGGACAAAAATATTAAACTTTCTAATTGTAGACTTCATGTTATTGGAAATAATTATGGTATTTTCTCACATGTCAAAAACTTTCGATTAAATGCATTATTATATATTTTATAAATAATAATAAATGAATGAAACTTTAAGCGTAAATGAAGTCTATTACTTCATTGCATTGTGTGTTTGTCTGAATAAAAACAGTCATTTGCAGCCAATAAAATTAATATCTTGAAAAATTGTAAAAAGGAAATTATACAGTTTCTTTTTGTATATATGTTGCAGGCAAAACTTATAACCAGTCAAAACTAGTACTGTGACATAGTTATACAAATTTTTAAAACTCTTTCCAATAGTTTCATCAATGAAAGGTTTAGCAATAAAAAACATTTTTAATTACTTACGTTATTTATTACTATTTAAAGGGCCAAAGTAATCAGAATTCTAGTTAACTAGTTCACAGCTTTTGTTAACATTCATAATATAATCAAGGCAGCGCCATCTAGTATTTAAACATAAACATATTCATTTGCGTCGCGGGCGCCGCGCGTCGTAAGCCCCATACCTATTGACCGTACGTGCATCCATTACTGCCACACTATATTGAACTTTATCACATGAGGAATACAGGTCAATTCCGTAAACGTTGTGGTACCGTCCTTGATCCGGAAAATGATTATTTTGAATAATTTTGTCAGTTGTAATGTAAGCATTAATAACAGCAACTTTATTTTTCATGCATGATTTACTTCATTTGATATCTTAATCCTTCAAGCGCCGTGATCTAGACAAAATATATAAAATCATTGTTCCTAGCTACCGGGGTCCCATGCGACGCGCGAAGGCTTAATCATATTATTATAAAGTATTATTAAAATAATGTGTAATTAATAATATTGCGATTCTAAAGTAAATACTCCCTTACATAGACAATTAATAATTTACACAAGACAAAAATTGTTAGAAAGAAAGTTAATAATATTGTATTCGACTGTACTCAATGTAATGTATGTAGAAGTTTACAATCAAATTTAATGGTTTTCTAGGTCAAAAGTCAAGCAAAAATTGGACTGATATTGGGCACTATTTCAAGCACAATTTTTTGAGACGTAAATTGTACCTATAGCTCGTTCGATATTCGCGCACTGAGGTGAGTATGCTGGGCGTAGAACCTACGCCCAGCATACTCACTGAACGAAGCCTATAACTCCGAAGTTATTCGAGCACTGTTTTTTCTTTTTGGGCACCGTTTGGCACTATTTGGGAACTATTTTTTGAAGTATGAATTATGTTTGAAGCATATACAGATTCTCCGGACGGAGGTGAGTATGCTGGGCGAAACCTTCGTCCAGCATACTCATCGAACTATGGCTATAACTTCGCAAGTACAAGAGCACTATTTTTTTCCTTTGGGCACTATTTAGCACTATTTCAGAACAGTTTTTTGACATTCATGAAATATCAGGATTCCATGGTGAGTATGCTGGACGAAGGGACACGAAATGTCGGCCTCATCGTTCGCCTGATAAAATTGACGTGTAAAAGTGCTGCCTTGTAGCCTATTTGCAGAAATAAATTCACTTGTTTGACTTGTTACGCAACTTATAGACTAATATTATCATATAATATCGTATAAGATTCTCATTGACTTTTTAATTTTCATTCGAATATAGGGAATGTCACACTCAACACCTAAAAAAAGGGCTCTGCTTCGTAGGAGCTGGAACAGAGTGGATTTTAATCAGCAAGAGTCTGACATTCCTCGCCTCACCTCCAGGGTTATTTAATTATTATCCCTTCGTAAAAAACATTGTCCCCCTAAAATACTAATTCCAATAAGGTTCTAATTTGATTTTTTGTTACAGTGCAATTGCCAGGCCCACAGTTGGGACAAGACGGACTTCAATTTGGGGCTTAAGAACAAGAGACTAATCATTATTTAGATATCAGCCCCGTACTGTCCACTGGCTCCCATAGTCCTCCCCTAATAACTACACATCGCGAGGTTGGAAGCGATAGACTGCATACAGATGAACTTGACTGATGTTTATATAAACGAACTTGCGCAGGTAGGCTTTTAAGAATCATATTTGTCGATTTTTTTGTTTAAAAAACAATGTAAATTAAAATAAATGTGGGTTTGGAACTCCCAGAATAACCAGGGCGATTAATCTTGAATCCAATTCCGATCGATCGACATTGATATTGTGTCGTACTCTTGAGTTGCAACACTAGCGCCCATTGCATCCGTATTGCGTGGATATTTAATGAACTGAGTTTGTCTTTATATTCCGTACTCTGAATGCTATTGTAACAGCTACGATTGTGGTTGTATAGTGTTGATATTGAATAATTATTGAGGTTTTATTGGATTGTAATTTATATTGACATTGGTTTCAAGAGTAAATGCCCTGATTATTTTTAAATAAATAAGCAAACATGTTCTACGAGCATGTAAAAATGAATTAAAAATATAAAACACGACTTGTAAACTGTTCAAAGATGTCCGACTAGTTTCGACTCACACTGGGGCTCATAAATCTTGAGTTTGCGCTACTGCTGGCTACATAACATTGGTTCATGATTATTGTGAATGCGCAAAAAAATGTGGCCCGGAGGTTCCTCGTACACGAGCGTGAGGTTTCGAAACCTACGTATATATTTCTTATGTTCCATAAAAAAAATACGAACGGCAAGTACCAATGTGACTTGTTCCGAGTTATATGTACTTTCTAAGATTATTCAGACACCACTGACAAACGGTGAAGGAAAACATCGTGAGGAAACCTGGGCTTATAATTTCTAATCATAAGTTTGAAATCGCCAACCCGCATTGAGCAAGCGTGGTGATAAATGCTCAAACCTCCGTGTGAGAAGAGGCCTATGGTCAGCAGTGGGCATTTATAGGCTGTTGATGTGTAAAATGCGCTTGAAATCAGTCTAACATCTTAGAATAGTTTAATATTAGGAACATAATTAGAAAAGATGTCAAATTATTATTTAAATATTTAAATTATTTGTTAGATTGTCAAATAGTAATACCTCATTTGATGTTAATGTACCGTGTAAATATAGTTTAAGTCATTGTTATAAAGTATCCAATGTATTTTAACTTGCTTTAATTCTGTAGTTTCCAGGGTATCAAAATTAAAAATCTAATTAGTCCGTCAGTTAGATAATGAAATAATATTAGACACGTATTTTTTTATTTTCTCGTATTAAGTTGCAGTACTTAGATAAAATGGCGCTAAGTTTAGGAGTTGGTCGTTACGTCATAACGTGCTACAAAATGTGGCACGCTGTGACGTCACACGATATTTCAAATTAATATATCGTCGAAAGTATTTAATTTTGTGAGAAAAGAAAAAATACGTGTCTAAAGTTTTAAATTAATGTACCAGACGGACATTGAAATAAAATGTAGGAAACTACCCTTTTGGCTTATTCACATAACAGTTTGACGAGGAACTCGACCAGTTTAGTCATGAATATGCCTCTAGCATGGCTTGGAACTAGTCGAGTTCCTCGTCAAATTATTACGGGAGTAAGCCGAAAACATGATAATTAAAAAAAACCAACTTCAATCTCCTCTTTTTTTGAAGTTGGTCAATTATTCTTCTTCTAAGCTTATCAAACACTTTTTAATAGATCGAATGATTCTAGAGGAAGGCTTATATGTGCCTATGTATGATTAGATAGAGAAGATAATAAAATGAATTTGTTAGTATACATCTCTGTTAGGGTCCGTCCGTCAGTTAGGTAATGAAAAAATATTAGACACGTATTTTTTTATTTTGTCGTATAACAAAACAATACTTAGGTAAGGTTGCAAGCCTTTCGGTTTTCTACCGGATATATTTCGGTGAGTCTGCGGGAGAATTGCACAACTTGATTCCCCTTAGTCCTTTCCATCACCGTACCACAAGACAATCTGCGAAGCGTCACCGATTCATGGTAGATGTTCCGCCCACACGCACGAAGCGCTTCGCTTCAAGCTTCCTTGTGCGTACTGCTAAAGAGTGGAATTCTTTGCAAGAGTCTGTATTTCTTGAAGGATATAACCTGGGAGTCTTCAAGGCCCGAGTGAATAGGTTGCTTATGGACGACGTACTCCATCGTAGACCACATCAACCAGGCGAGATAATGGTCAAACGTCGCCCCCATCAAATATATATATAAAAAACGGAGTTAAGTTTAGGAGTGGGAGGTCGTTACTCACGCTACCATATAAAATATAGTAATTAGTGACATCACACGATATTTAAAATCAATGTATTGTCGAAAGTATTCAATTTTGTAAGTAAATAAAAAGTACGTGTCTAATGTTTTTAAATAATCTACCAGACGGACATGGAAATAAAATTTAGTATACTACCCTATAGTATTGTAAGTGTGAACGTATGTACGCTGTACATATTGAGATGAATTTTGGCACAGAGTTAGATAAGACAAAAAATTATTGAGAAGATAAGACTTAAGATGTATAGAATATTTAATGAGAGCAAAATCGAAAGATAAAAGTCGTTAGAAATCAATATTATTCCTAGATAATCTTAACAGATTTGTTAGTCGAATCAAGGACATTGAATAAAAGGCGGACATATGCCCGAATACTGAAACGTTACTCGATTTTAAACTGTCAAACACCACGCGGTCACCGGTGACCGCAACCTATTGTTCTTTAACTCGTCGAGTACCGGTTTTGTAGACACAATTATAGAACAATAGGTTGCGGTCACCGGTGACCGCTTGGTGTTTGACAGTTTAATTGTGTCTATAATGACGGTATTCGACGAGTTAAGTCGCGCTTAAGTATAGTTCTGTCACTGCAAATTCTTAGTAAAATGACAAGAGATGGCACGATATTTAACTCATCGAGTACGAACACCGTGCGAACACCGGTGACCGCAACCTATTGTTCTATAAATGTGTCTATAATGACAGTACTCGACGAGTTAAAATTGAGTAACGTTTCAGTATGTCGGTAATAGTCTCTTGATACAACGACTGTGGCACCTGGCTACTATAGACTTACACACAGAACACACACACATTGACACGAGGGACATCTGTCATTTTCCTAAGTCTGGTAACGTGGTAATTCATTACACACGCACACATAAATACACCACTGACATTTCAGTGCTTCAATCATTTCTAATCGTTATCCCACTCTAGGATTTTCTCCTGTGTCGTGGGTGCGTTCACAAACATACAAGTTCACATACACATGACACACAGACCCGGAACAACAATTTGTGGATCACACAAAGAGTTGTTCCGTGCGGGAATCCAACCTGCTCGACACGTTGTGCGGCAGCCGGTTGCCCAGCCACCTACCGTGCAGTCAAGTGACATTATGTCCCATCTTTTTTCAACACAGCACAGAAACAAATGATTAGCCTTTTCTACATTTAAATTAGTATTTATTTAATCTATAATCGATGTGAAAAGCTTATAAACGACCCACAAAGGTGCGAGTATATCTGGCCGCAGTACATAGCAGTGCAATGCGCTTGTATTGTATTGTCATCACTCAGATGCCTTAGTACGAGTTTCTTTTGACCGGCGCCAATGAACCAACCAATCAGAGGCCTTAGAACGAGTTTGTTTTACGTGAAAAGTAATCAAAATGAGTACGCGGTCTGCGCTATGATTGGCCGGCGCCAATGAAGCAGGCAATCAGAGCGCCGGACGAGGTTTCGTGTCGATTACTTTAAAGTTAAACGTAAAAGAAACTCGTACTAAGGCCTCAGAACTGTCAGTAAATAGAGTTAGAGAGAGGGTGAGAATGTGACCATTGACCGCACGTCGCGGTATGAGGGCTTCCTGTATTTTTTCTCACTAGATGGCACTACTGTGACGTCTCACTTTTCGTCCAATATGGAGTTAGCTAGTGTCACATCATTCGACGACGTTCAATGTTCGACAGCTGCAGGGATTGGAAAAAATGTCTAAATGAATTCATTTCAATTGGGTACTTTCCTTAATAAAAAAATAGTTATTTCGAATGTTCGATACAACAAAGTATTAAAAAAATAATGACACTTTTATGAATTAGTTTTATGGTCAACTTAACACCTTGAACGCCATGGGGGACAACGTATGGACCACGCTAGCGGAGGATTTACCTTCAACAGTTTTCTGTCGGCAGTCAAAGGCTTCATTTTAGTATTTTTCCAGCATTTTTTTAATAAATAAGTATGCTGTTTGACGCAAAAAAATGTGACGTCACAATACACAATCTCGTACAAAATTCATAGAAACTCGTTGTTGGCAAGTCGAAAAATGTATTGAATTTGACTAGTTGGCAAGTACACAATTAAACCATAATTTGGTACTTTTGAAACGTCAACAAATACAAAATAAATAATAGTTTGTCAGTGAAGCTAGGCGCTCGTTCTAAAATGTAGATTAGAATGGAGAAGAACGAGCAAGAAACTCTATAATCTTGCTTTTTGATGGCGAGCATGGGTACCTCGCGCCCGACCACCACAGGTGGGGCCCAATAGGGCTGATGCCGATTCGGAGTCGCGGAGAACCTAACGGGTCACCGGGGCTCTGGCTCGAAGTGCAGTAATAGGAACGGGGTGGTTTTTAGTCAGTAAGAGTCTGACACTCCCTCCCGCCTCACCCAGGCAGGAGAAATCATTCGATGATTTTCCCCCCTTAAAAAGAAGCCCTATGTATAGGTGGATTTGTCAATCACTTCGGACGGACCATTTCAGATTTTATGGTCCTGAATGTATGAACTATGTTTTCATAAAATTTTGTATAAAATATTATAAAAAGAGTCTTTAGTCAGTAAGAAAATGTTGTTATGAATGTAAAAAGCATCAAGAATTTAGTTTTTTTCTAAATAAAAGGTTTTTTTTAATATATGTATTGTTTTTTTTACTTATCTTGCGAGATAACTTCAAGTGTGGGAGAGCCATGCTTCGGCACGAATGGGCCGGCTCGACCGGAGTGATACCACGGCCGAGCAGAAAACTGACGTGAAACAATGCTTGCGTTGTGTTTCGTTGTGTGAGTGAGGTTACCGGGGGCCCAATTACCCTCCTCTTCCCCAATCTCCCCAATTCCTGAATCCCCAACGATCCTCAAAGTCCTAATCCCCAAAAGGCCGGTAACGCACTTGTAACGCCTCTGGTGTCCCATGTATCCATGGGCGACGCCGATTGCTTACCATCAGGTGATCCGTCTGCTCGTTTACCGACTTATGGCATGAAACAAAAAGAAAAGA